CCGGCGATAAAAAAAAAGCCTTGGGGGCTTGTTGGGGGCGCGGTTGGAGATGCTCTTACTTTGTCCACACGAGCCTTTTTCAACTATCTAACTATCTCGAAGCATCCCCTCAAAAAAATCTGGAAGCATCAGTGCATCACCTAAAAAACGAAAACTATCTGGAAGCAACCATCAACTAAAATAAACTGGAAGCAGCCGGCCGAAGGATTTTGCAAAATACATGTCCACCAGTTATGCCAATTTTATTTTATTTTTGCAGGGTGAAAAGAGTTTTGTTCCAAAATTATAATGTTACCATGCAGAGTCCAGAATTCCTCGGTACATGGAGGCCCTCTCGGTAGCCAAACAGCAGTGCTACATTCAGCTATACCTCGCTAAACAATTTGTCACTCTATTCTGAGAACGATGAAGCTTTTGCCGAATAAACTCTCAAACCTCTCATAAGGCAAGAATCTCCAACGCCAGATGTCCATATGGAGACCGCATTAGTGACCCATCACTGAAGATGGGTAGGTCGTGGACGAGTCCGACTACACAATGACCGGAAGTTTCGTGTGTCACAGGGCTAGCGCCATGCCCTGCATCATAACAAGAATCTCTGCTTCTAACGCATCATTGCAGTGAAACAAATACCAGTAAGCCACGAAGATTATGGTCCCATCATGTTTTCGAAGTATCATGCCCGCCGCTACAGTGTCGTCCACACTTGAGAAAGCACCATCTACCGAAAGCCCAACCTTGTACATTGGGGTCTCCATGTAAGAGGGGTATCTATGGACACAAGTCTCGGCATGTCAACTTCAACGACCAGGGGTATTTTTCCATTCAGCATCTCCTCCGTTGAAACCCTACAAGCATGAACAAGAGACTGCCAATAGCTTCGTAGGAATTCCACCGAAGTAGTAACGGGAGGGACTTACTTTCCATGCATAGCATCATTCCTTAGTTGCCATATACGCCAAATAAGGAGTACCATGTTGCGTACATTTTGCTGGCATCCATCGAGGACATAAAGAAGCCAGTCCTATCCAGTATCCCGCAACGACTCCCTGGCCAGAAGTGGCCAGACCAAACGCATACAATCCCATAGCCGAGTTGCATGATCACAAGTAACTAGAGTATGAAATGATGATTCAGTATTCACGCCACACGTGGGACACAACGCCCTCATTTGCAAATAATGATCTGATTTTTCTTTTGTTGTTGCCAATGTTCTCGAGCACATGCCTTCCATCCCGCAACAACTCTCGAAGTAGGCGATCTCCTTGCCCTTACAAACTTCTTGGTTCACTCCACAAGATTGGAGGCTCCCAAAGCACACCTAACCAATCTAGGAGGCACCATCCTCCAAAAGGTAATAGATGTTGTTGTTGATGATGAACTCCTTACACTTCAAAAGATACACTCCTCAACACTCAAATACTCTCTCACAAATTTTGGCTTTGGAGTAGGAGAGGATTTGGGTCGAAAGCAATTGAGGTGGCTAGAGATTAAAGTTCTATGGTTGGAGTGGAATCCCTTTGGTCTCAACACAAGGATGGGGATCTCTCTCTTAGAAAAATGGATATGGGAAGTGTATGCTTTGCTCTGGTTGCACTCTAAGAGTTGGTGTAATGGGTGGAGGTATATCTAGGCAGCACCAAAAATTCAACTTTTACACCTTTATGCACAGTTCGATGGGACCGGGTGAAACCACTTGCTGAGATCGGCCTGTACAAAAGGTTTAAACTTTAGGGATTTCGTTGAGACCGGATGAAACCTTTCGGTGCGACAAGGCATGCTCACCTAAATAAGAACTCTCCATACTTCGGTGTCACCCACTGAAATCGACTGGAAATCCTAATTGAATTTAAGTTGGCAAAAGAAGGTTGTCTAGTGCACTTCAGTGGGACCGAAGGGCCAACTCGGTGGAACCGAGGTTCTGGGATTTTGGCAATGACTATGTCATGTGTATCTCGGTGAGTCCAGGTAGATGTGGATCGGTGGGACCGAGATGAACTTTATAGTTTTGACATAGTGGAATGTGGGAAAATGTTTGAGGCTTTTGGAGCAATATCTCTAAGCACTTGAGCAGTTAGTCCATTATCATAACCTCATCCCATTTTGATAATACTGATTTTCCTATGAACTCAATGTGATATTGGATCACTCAAATATAAAATGAAGAGTCTTGAGCCTTTGACCAACACTTGTCCTTAGCCTTTTGAGGAGTCCATTTTCACATCCCAAGTTGTACCTAGATTGAACTCTTTCCTAATATTTTTTCAGTAGGCATTAGTTCCGTGAGATATATCTGGTCATAAATTACCAAAACCACCCAGGGATTAGACGCACTTTCAATTCCCCCTTTTTGGTAATTGATAACAATATACAGATCAAAACTTCGACATAAGAGACAAACATGAATAATACCATCGTTTTGGGGAGTATGTGATATGCAAGAGGTCCCCCTAAATTTGTGCACTATTTTGGATTTGCATTTGAATGCAAATGCACAATCGATTACGTTTGTGTAGTAACTCTTTCATGTCACATACATCTTGGTGGAGTGCACAAAAGAATATGAATAGAATTTAAACTTGCACACATCACCAAACACAAGTATGATGACCACGATAAAATGCATATGCAAATAATGGGTAACATGAGTACGGTAAACAAGCAAAGTACAATCAAAGACACGAGATAAACAAGTTTGCATCCAACGAGAATCACATGAAGTAGCAAGGACGAAAACTAACAAATTAAAACTCTCTCTCTCTCTATCTATCTATCTCTCTCTCTCTCTCTCTCTCTCTCTCTCTCTCTCTCTCTCTCTCAACCCTATAGATCTATATCACTCTTCCCCTTTAGCATCAAAATACCAAAAAGATCAAAGTGATCTATGCCTAAGCATCACTCTAGGCTCGATCCATGGCATCTGGCTATGAAGATCTCTGACTGGCAACTCCTGTGTGGGTTGATGGAGTGGTGTTGAGAAAGTCTGCGAAGGCTTCAGTTGATGTCGTCTTGGCATGAGGAGCGGATACTAGTGGTGCAACCTTTCAAAACAAATAGAGCCGGGCTGCTGCTTCCCACAAGCTTCATCCAAGGACACAACCCGAAACACAAATTACTCATGGAGCCCGCACTGCATGTCAAACGTCACAGGAGCTCCAAAAAAGCTGAGCTCCCCGAAGAAACATTATTTGAAGACAAAGGTGTTATAAAGGAACCCACCGAAGGTCTCGAAGACCAACTCCTGCACCCTCGGGTGACATCCCTGGATCATCTTTATCCCCAAGTTGGTGGCAGCGCCCACCTAGATTGCATCTCCCTTTGTAAAAAGCCACCGTGTATATAATGGGAGGCGAGAGGTCGCTCATCCCAAACTCTACTCTCCGTAGAATAACTTTCGGAAGTAATCTCCATCTAACACCAATGTAATCCATCGCATGAGGTATCCGCACCATGAACAGAAACAACAAGCAGGACGTAGGGTATTACTCTCTAGAGTCCCGAACTTGGATAAACTCACCGAGCGATCTCCGATCTATGACTTCCAGCTATGGCAAACCCTACAAGGGATCTGACGGTTTTCTGCACCGCCATCGACATTTGGCAAGCCCTGGGAGCAACGTCCGATACAAGTATGAAGAGAGCAGATCTGCATGATGACAGTAGAAAGGAACAAGACGAGGGGAAATAGAAGCGATAAAGAAGTTGAGGCGTCTATGGACTGCACACGAGAAAAATGGATATAACCTGGTATGGATATAACCTTTGATATTGGCAACTTTTCTAACAATAATCAAGACAAATGGATGGATTTGGACATGATTTGAATTCTTCCTCCGTGTAAGTTTATTAAAGAAACTTGTTAAATAGCCTTTAGGTCACTCAAAATTAGCTGTTATTCACCCCTAACTTGTCTCGCTTATTTCAAATTGGACAACTTAGTTTCTAGCTCCAAAAAAAAAACATGAAAGATAGTAAACAAGAGCTATTACACTGGTACAATGCTTACATGGCAGGAGGTAGAGATCTTTCGTCATATAGTAAAAGGATCAAAAGAATCTGAAATGTTTTTACAACACATATGTCTAAATGTTCTACTCCTGTGCAAAATTTCATGATGAAATAAGCAATACTTTCTTTTAGGAAACAAAAGCAATACTATGAAAAACGTCATTTCTGAAGCATTTTGGGCTACCTGTTTTGGGTTTTTACCTGAAGTGCCACAAACGTGATTTCTCCAGAAGAATTTATATGTAGGGTAGAACACCGAAGAATGTTTGTCAACAAAAATCATTTTTTTTGTGCTATTTTTTGAACCTGGGAGCAGAATGACAGGCAACGACGCACATATCTGCATTGTAGATTTGTTTCTCCAAAGTCCAGGCGTTTACAACCTTAAAGTTAAACTAACTGTTCTGTTCTTATGAACGTACATACTATCTGGCAGATGGCAACTCTTGTTCGTCCTTGTCATCCGTAATTCTTTTGCTCCTGATGCTACCTAATCAACCAACACCACTAACTTAATTACAAAGCGAGCAGTTCCCGACATGTTCAACCTGTCAAACGTGGATCCTAAGGCTAAGGAGATATATACACTACTGAGCACAATGACAGACAACACAGTCTTGAGTCAATCGCGAGGGGCGGCTAGTTGCTGCTTCTTGACCCGATCTCCAGGCTTCACCATGCTGAGGAAACATAGATGTCATAATAAATATCCATTTGCGAGAACTCGAACGAGAGAAACTACAGGCGATTTTCAGACCTGATATCATGCGGCGTTATAAATATCCATTGTGACCCATGTGCAACAGCAAAATCTACAAGGGTGTCCAAGCTTATTTTGCGGCTCACCGCATCCTGCGCAAATCAGATACCGCCAATAAAAAGATTTGGTTTGTCATTAACAGGATGGTTGTAGAAAGCGTCGTGTTTGCTCACCATGAATACATCAAACTCATCCATGGCCCTAAAAGGTGCTTCCGTCATCCCATGAAGAGCTAAAGCGAAGCAAAGTGTCGAAAAAGATCGCTCTCCCCCTGGACCAAGATGCATAGCAAAAGTTGTAGTTATCGAAAACATGGGTATGAAATACTAGCAAAAGATTCCTAAAGAAACACGACTTGGTGAATGGTATTCTGACCAATAAATGAAATGTGAAAAATACCATCTTGCAAGTTACAACCATGGTACAGGTACCTGACAGTCCTCTAGTGTCTCTGATGGTATCATGCGATGCATCTTGAGGCATCGTTAGCTACATCAAACACCATACACAACTGTTACATGAAGCACAAATCCTCCAACCGCTATGTACACGGCAAAATGGCAATGTTATGAAGGATTTACACCTCAATAGATAAAACTTTACTCTGGTAATCCACGTTGGTGAATCCACTGATACCTTTCTTTCCCAGGTGCTCATTGAACCTTCAAAACAATAAAGTTGGACGACCTATCAGGAGTAACCGTTTCAAACTGATGGATAAGAGAAATCAAAGCCAGCAGAAAAACAGATGATAAACATCCAAGAAAGAAACTTGTATTTACAGCCATGTCAATTGTCTCTTCAAAAGGCCAGCATTTCTCTGGAACTTATTCCACCGCAAGTCCAATAATTTTTCACACGACTGCACAGCAATATACTTGGGTCAAAAGCAGATCCGGTAGAGTGCAATGAACATATCAAAGTCAAACATGCCAACATAGGTAGGGAAACATGAAGTAATGAACTTACATTAATTCTCAGCCTAAAACTTGCATACAGTTGTTGCTTACTTAAGATTTTATGCTCCTTTTTGTCATGCAATGCCCTCAGATCGTCTATGGACTCAGCATGTCTGCTCAGATTATTATCACTGTAATTATTCACAAAGGATAAAAACTCATGGGCATCAACTTTTTCCTGCCACTATGACCAAGTTGGTTCCAAACCTTCTGCTTTCTTGATCAAATCTCTGTTTCAGTCTATTTAACTTGGCACTTAATTGTTCAGGGGTGGATCCAGCAACATTATTCAGAGCTTCCATATCACTCTCAGGGCAAATAGTCGAAGCCTTCTTGAAGTTATCCTACAGAATATAAGGTCATCACTCACATGTGAGTCAGGTAACACAGAAGACCTGATACGTCCAGGTGTTAAAAATGCTTCGTAGGAATTAACGGAACACACACGCTGGATGTATTAAGTTGACAGTACGTCCAGCATTACTCTAATTAAAGTACATAAATGCAAGATGAAGTTGCTGGTTTAAGTTCGGCCACTATTCAAGGTATGACCTTTTCCAAATATATACCCAAAAAACATGAGTTTGGTGGTTCTAGACCATCCTGAAACACCATCTGTCCATTCAATAGGTAAAAATCAAATTACGTGTTCACTCACGCTAATCTTACTACTTTGTATTTCATCCTGTCAATTAATAAAATCAAGAATCGTCACTTTTATTGCCTCTTGCAGCGGGTTCATTCCATCAGAATGTTAGACACTGTATTTATCTTATTTACTTATTAAGAAACTGTTCTCTTATCAAGTTTTATAATTCTTTTGGCAATGTGAATTTTCAGGCCCACACTGACTCTAACTATAACAGAACACACTTTCTCTTAGAGAAGAACCATACAGAAACAATCATAGTTCAACAAAGTAAAACAAGGCAATTAAAGCCAGTAACAGAACAAAAACCTGTCGAAGCTGCTGAAGATCTGCATACTCTGCCTCAGCCATTTTAATAGCAGGTAAAACTTTGGTTGTCATGAGACCTTCATAGTGAGCCTTCTCCTGGTTCACATATTCAATGGAAGAAACTACCATCAGTACATACATGCTACAGACAATTGAGTGATCACAATTTTCTAATTTCTTCCCGATAGGAATAACCACAGCTTGGTTGGCCAAGTTGTTGATGGTGATAGTTTGTGTCCAGAAGAGGCAAAGTTTAACAAAAAATCCATAGAAAAAGTGGTGTAGGTAAAGAGCTAGTGTCATATTCTAACGAAACAAAAATGTGATGGTTATCCACTTCTTCTACAATATAATACATATTTTCCATTTGAAACAAAGTTAAATAAAATCATAATGGAAATATCACATGTGGTACTAAGGTGGGGAGGGTCACAGACCATACAGCTGCAAGACAAAATGATGCCAGCTTTAATCGAGCAAAAGGGAGTCGTTTACAATACAGTGTTTACATAGGGTAAGAAAGGAAAGGGGAAGACGTGTTGCTCATTGATGCTTTCATGAAACCGATAGATTAAACAAATGCTTTCCAGTACATCTCACCTATACTCAAAATATCAAAGACCATAGAAACACAAATCAAGAGCGAACTGTATAGCATTTACTCCCTCCGTTCCAAAATAAGTGCTGTGGTATTTTGAACTAAAACCACGACACTTATTTTGGAACAGAGAGAGTATAGAGTTATGACTTCAAGATAAGGAGAAGCACCTGCTCAGCTGCATCTAGTTTATGCTTAACAAGTTCTAATTCATCATTTGCGCTAATACGATCCCCTGTCTCCTCATTCACAGAATCTGGAATAAAAAAATTATCGTTAAATCCGCAGAGAATAGTAATTACAGCTAAGGAGGCAGCCACAGGCAGCAGAACAGTAACTTTCAGGAAATTAATTTGATATTCTGGTACTAGGTAATCTCTAGGCTAAAAAAACTGGTTTATCCATAAGTCTCTTTTTGTCGAACCAGCAGAAGAGGTGCCCGTCATTATTATCTTAAGAAGAGAAAAACACATAATATAATAGACCCAAAAGGGCCTTGACCACACACACGTAACACGCACACACACCGAAACTCAAAAGACACCAGAAAAGGTTACAAGCGCGCCAGCACACTAATCAAACAAACAACCAGCAGAACAAACAAAGATCAAGGCCAAAGAGACTCAAACTCAAAGGAGCCAGCAGAACACTAAAGAGTAGATTCCTCTCTGATCTCTTGAACAAGCTGGCTGAACCTAGAATTTCTACCCTAAAATCAAATCCACTATGGTCTTTCCAAGGAAAACAAGCTACTCCGTGACCAACAAGTGAATCCCTTTCGCCGATGAGTTTTAACTAACAGCATCGCCTCAAACCACCAATTTTGGAATTAAAAATGATTTCAGTCTACAAGCGCCACCTGGACCAGACTCTGTAAGATCTCCACCCAAACTTGTTTAGCAAAGACACGCGACCATCACATGTGTAATGGTCTCAACCACCTAAACACAAAGAGGGCAGCTTGTAGGATGAGCCAGGCCTCAGAGCTCAAGGTGTATCCATAAGTTTCAACAGAAAGAACAGAAACCTAGTGCTTGTGTATGTGTGTTTGGGGGGGTCGCCAATTGTTTCTAAATAATATATCGTAAATGAAAAAAACCTATGCTAAATTCGGAATGCAAAAAAAAAATTACTTGACAAACAAGTTCCAACTAGAAACTGCTCTAAGTTGTACATAATAGCCTTGTAATATCCCAGTTGTATAAGGGGTTTTCTGCATATTTTATCGTGCATTTACGTGCCTATGGCCTCACCGGAATAACACAATAAAATAAAAAATGAGCGGGTGTTTTATTTTCATCAGAGGACAGATATTGCCTAAAAGATCGAACATACTAGCTTTATAACTAAGCTATATTGAATCCTTTGCAGACTTGTTGCCTTCCATTTGTCGGATGCCTACTTCACATACGCTAACGCCAATTCCTCTATCATTATGTATAACCTGCTTGCATTGTGCCGTACATTATGTACACAAATCTAACGTGAAAAAGAGCGTAATTCTGATGTAAAATGCTACAATGTGGCAAGCATGGTTAGTTACCTCAAGATCGAAATGCAAAAACTTGAATGCTAAACAACTTAACAGTGTAATGCCAGTAAATTATCATACCCATAAAGGTCTTGTAAGCTTCTCTTCTATCGTTCACTTCTCGTGAAGCTGCTGCTAACTTTGTATTAATCTTATTAAGTAATAGTTCCCTCTCCACAATGATATTCTTCTCTTTCTGCAGAAAAAAGTAACATGACAAAATTGATGAAGTTTTTGCTTAGATAACGAAGATCATTATACCTAGTGCAGTGAAATGAGATAGATGGTTCCTCAAGAAAGGAAAAAGGGAGCAAACCTTTATGTCCTCCTCTAGTTCAGTGTTATCCACAGCACCATATCTATTACTTTCAGCAAAAGCTCTCTTGGCGTCATCAAGTTCCAGTATTTTTTTCTCTAAACAATACTCCTCAGGTTCTCGTTTTCTCTGCAAAGCAACATGGCAAGTTACGAGATAATTGAAATGCATTACACACCAATAAGAATTTTACCTTTGAATCTGCTATTTTCTGTTCAAGGTCACATCGATCTTTAACTAACTTGCTTTTCTGACCGTTCTTTTCCACGACTGTTCTTTGAATACCTTCTGCTTCATTCTTAAGTTCAGCAATTTTTTCTCCCAGTGAACTGCACAAACGATTACGTTTTCCCTTTTTGCTTGCAGGAGGATAAAAAGTCTCAACAGTACGTCTAGAAAATCTACAAGAAAAATTCAATGGCAGCAGAATCATCAAAGAATGAACAGATCACAGCATGCTCATTTCCTAAGCGAAAGAAGTTACTTCATCCGTCCGCGTTTAAAAAGCCTATGAGCCAAAACAATGAACCAAGGAGGAATTAATCCAGCATGCACCAATGAGAGGGAGTCCATTTAATTCGGCCATGCCTTGGCTAATTCTGCATGCAGCCTCGCCCCTAGCTTTTGCATGCATCGCATTTTCTCTCGGTAATTAATTCCACAAATCAGCGAAGAAAACCCCAATTGAATCCACCAAAAAAGTAGGATCTTAATTATCTCTGGCCTAAAAATCAGGACATGGCTTCATGGCCCTCCGGCCTTTTAAACCTAGACGGAGGGAGTATCTAGCAATTTGCATGATGTTTTATTACCCAAAAGTTCATGAACAAAGAATTCGTCAGTAAACTATAAAATTGCCGTAAGAATTGAAACGCACGAGACATAACAACACTGGTGAACTTTGTTTCGGGAAAAATCAGTTTATGAGATGCTTCTATAAAAGTGTTTACTTCCCCGAAATTTTTCCACTTTTTATCATGTTATCAAGAGGTCAATTAAATATATGTGTCTCGTTAGATAACTGCACTAACTGGAGGAAGAAGCCTCAACTTGCCGCATGAGCAATTTAGGGAGTTCAGTGGAAAAGAAGGGAGGAGAGAGGGGGTGGACAAAGTGACTGCCTGCATGAGTTGGACAAACACTTGGGGATTTTTGGATAAGGGAGTTGTCAACGTGAGCACGGCGTCCCCAGGAAGCGCCCGCATTCCGCACTGCAGGGAGCCGCCGAGGAGGAAGGAGGCCCGGCGGCGGCAAGGGGGGAGGAGGGGAGGAGGCTGGCAGCGGAGAAGCCTAGGGTTCACCCTCCACTCGCGGGAGCGGGTCAGGCGAACGAGATCGGTCTTACTACCATCGACGAGTATTCTAGTTACTGTACTACATTCACATCCCAGACAACCAGCTCTCCAAATAGCTCTACTCCTGGCAGCAGCTTTGCAATAACCGACAGACAACAGCTGCTTATTTTAAAGCCACAGCCCAGCCAAACACTCCATGAGTGTATACTCTAACTTCTCTACTCCTATAAAAGACCAAGTTGTTGATGATGGTATGTCTGCCGACCATCATTTCTGATCATTCGCTCTACATCTAATGAATATGAGGTAAGCTTTTCGATTAGAGATGCACATACTCCAAATAACTCTACTTATAGGAAGCGACGAAGCATGAATAACAACTCATGAACAAGCGGATTGTGAATCAGGGAACTGTGGTTAGTTGGCCCTCCAAATGACCCAGTGTGCCATCAAACCAACTGGGGAACTCTAGAAACTGATCTCAAGTCACTAGCCGTCTCGAATGCACCGATACTTCAGGCGACCAACGAATCAGTATCCTATACTGTATCTAGTACCGATACACCCCCGCTACGTATCTATGGGGTATCTATGAATAAATGATTTAAAACAATTCAGATACTTTAAGGATACTTTCTCAATTCGTTTTGGATACGGCTCAGCCCATCTAAGAGCCCACTCAGCCCAGTTAAGAGGCAGCCAGCAACCCCAGTACCCCAATGCCCCCCATCCTTTCCCTCCCAGTTTCTTTCCTCCCTCCCGAGCTCACACGAGGCGGCGACCGGCGTCTGTGTGCCTAGCAGCTCCTCACCCAGGGCTGGCGGCGGCAGCGGGTAGCTGGCGACGAGCTGCTGCTCCTCCTCACCAACGTCCCATCTCACACAGCAGCCAGGTATGTGCACTTCTCTTCTCCTTTTCTCCTGCCCAGCCAAGCTCATCCCCTCTTCTTTCTCCTCTGATCTCTGAAGATCTCATATTCTCATCTCCTCCAGATGGCTCTGCTGAACTTCCTACTGTACCTACAAATCTAAGGGCACCATTGTGGAGCCATGTTACAATCATAGAGAAATCACCTGGAGGGGGCAACACTAAACCAATTATTTAAAAATAATACAACATATCCGTATTGGCACTTTTTCAAATGTCGAATTTACGTATCCGTATTGGCCCGATACTGATACCCGTATCCGTATCGGTGCATTCGAGCTAGTCGGTCCCACAAAATTGCAAGATGTTTTTTTCAGAAGGGGGAGTACTCCCGCTAAAATTGCAAGATGGTAATTCATCAAATCTAAATTGATAAGCAGAAATCTGCAATTACATGAATATTTGGCGGCACATGGAGATAGAAACGCCTATAAGGATTCTAAAATTACTTCTAGCAAGGATTATTTATGGTAAACTGCTTGATATAACAAGTAAATGGCTGGAATATGACCAAACTAATATGAGCATCACCACCGAGACTTACATTTTGTCCCCATCAGAAGTATACACTTCCTTTATATTCCGCATCCTATCATCAAATGCAAGAGATTTTCCGACTTCATAATCTTTAACCAGGACCTGCCTTTCAGCATGACCCTGAAACAAAGGAACTTTGCAAATGTTGCTCTAATAATAACATGTCAAACTGAAGGATCTGACAAAAAAAACAGTGTGATGCTTATTGATATCTCATAATTACAAATTATTTCAAAACAGATGTCAGGTTTATTTGGATTTTTAGTTTCAAAATAACTATCCATTCAGGGAAGATTTCAGTTGTTGGCTTGTTGCAACTTTTCCATCCTCAACCCGCACAAGTCAATGGTACCGAAGATATCAAATGGTTGAAATATGACATAAGTAGGGGTAAAGGCAGTCCAATTCCATGATATAATACTCAAATTTTGTGCCTCCTGGTATTTAGCATATGATAAATGGACCAATTTTCTGAAACAAACAGAGTAGTTGTTTGAGATTATATAATGCATACCTGATCCACCAATACATTCAGCACAGTATGATTTTCTGACTGAATAACTGATAGTACTGTAGGGTGCTCTGTTGTAGGAAGTGAACCATCAGGAATGATCAATCTATAAAAGGTCACAGAATTAGAATTCATCAAAATGTAACAGAATATTGAATAAGATACAGGGCCTTTAATCTCACCGTGGCCTAGTAAAATCATACACAATAATTCGAAGGTTATTGAAATTCACTTTACTTGCACATTCTCGCAAAACATGTAGATCCTTATAACATGTGACAATAAATGCATCCAGAAGCCCCCCACATGCACGATCAACTGCCACAGACCAGGACTCACTAGCAAGTTGCTGCATGGAACAAGCATTATTAAGGGCTGGAAAAAGTAATACAGCTATAACCTACTCCCTCCGTTCCTAAATATAAGTCTTTTTAGAGATTTCAATGCAGACTACCTACTGACATATATAGACATACTTTAGAGTGTAGATTCACTCATTTTGCTCCGTATGTAGTCCGTAGTGGAAGCTCTAGAAAGACTTATATTTAGGAATGGACGGAGTACATTGTAGAAAAAGCAATACTATATGAACCAAATCGATTTTGCATTCATGCTATTTGATGCAACGAGAACAAATATTATTACAGTTACTCCAATGAACTAGCATCAATGACATAAAAGATCAAACAAATTGCTTAATTTTCTAAAGGGGTCAATGAATTGATTGAGTCAAGACTCAAGAACTCAGGATGCAGAGACTAGTCAACATTGAGGCTGTTACATAGAGGTACTTACTGTACCAAGTTTCTTATATTTCCTTTTTGTATTTCGGATTCCTAATTTATCTCCTAACATAAGGCCCTAGATCCTTGGCAATAGATTAAATTGTAATTCCTCTAACATTATATCAGTAGCCGATTAGGTTTAGATCTTTTTTCCGTTGTACCAAAAAATAAGATTGTAGGGAAACCTTCTGTCCTTATTGTGCAATTCACAAACGGCCAAAAGGCCCAAAACTTCGAACAAATTTTGAAGTTCCCATATTCTAATATGAAGTACTTGGGACATATATACAGACTTTTGTACTTTACAGAGTCAACACAAGCTCTGGAGCAGTAGGAGGTGCTAGGAAGAATAGAGGACAGAGAATATGGATGCCTAGTCACAGTAATAAAGTAGTAAGCTGGGTGAGAACTCTGATGTCCAGGACCTAACGACGCAAAACAAGTTCCTGCTTGTGAAGCTCCTGCATCGGCTGCACTCGAGCGACAACACACCCTGGTCTGTGTGGTTCTAGTCTGCGTTGGACCGGATGCTGGTCTGTGATGCTGCGATCGCGCGGCTACCTGGGAGCCACTAGGGTGCTCTCATCAAGCTCATGCCGCTCTACAGGGTTATCTCTTCTGTTGCAGTCCGCAACGGTGAACGGACCGCCTTCTGGCTCAACAACTGGCTGCCCGTCGACCCCCTTTGTAGCTTTATGCCCACCATGTTCTTGCATGTGATGAGCGTCGTGGTCTCGATGCCTGCGGCCTTGCTGGAGGTGTGGTCCCAACTCATCACCGCCGCTGGGGTTCGTCATCTCGATGCCCTGTTGATGGCTCTAGACAGGGTTCAGCTGTCCACTTCAACCGACGACCAGGTGCTTGAGCGTTGTTCCTTACCTGCCCATGGGTTCCAGACCGCCCAGTACCTCTGCTCTTTTGGTGGGGTGGTCGCCACCTTCCACGACTTCGTATGGCGGAGGAAGCCCCCTCCTGGGTTCGTTTCTTCACTTGGCTCTTGGTTCGGGGCCGGATCAACACCTGGAGTGCGTAGCTCCGAAAAAGCATCACCTCCACTGCCGAGGCCGGTTGTCCACAGTGTGAGGCGCCCTGCAAGACTGCAGATCACCTAGTCTTCCAGTGCACCTTCGCCTAGCACTTCTGGGCGTTTGTTGGTGCGCCAACGCCGCACGAGGCCTCGCTTCGATCTCTACTGGATGTCTGTCTCTCCCCCGCTATAACCTAAGTGGTTGGTATCAACCTTCGTTCTCCTTTGCTTCTCATGGCTATTGAAGCACTACAATGGGATGCTCTTCAACAGTGACATCCCCTCTCTCACACGCCTCCGGTGCTTGTGCCGCGAGGAGGCCGCTGTTTGCCCAGTCCGACGGTGATGTGGACGCCTGCTTTGACTGTTTGCCAGTCCGAGCCAGCTGACTCCCCTCCACCTCTCTCCTAAATACATCAGATCAGAACAAGTGCTAAATGATATACCCAATTATCATTTGCATCAAGTTACTACACATGGTATTATTATACATATTCAAGAGTAACCAATAATTCAAGACAAGAATCATGATAATTGGCAGTTTCATACCAGATGAGCCCCTATCGGACCAATAGGTGGGCTTTCGAATTTTTTGTGGTTTGTCTCTATTGATTCCAAGAGTTTCAGAACTCTTTGTCCCCCAAATGCCGTTACCTAGGATGAAGCATTAATTGTATATAAATGAAGATGTTAGAGAGCAGTTGCCAGTTGCTACTAAAACCAATCACATCCTGAGAAGAGGGGCTATGATCATACAAAAAGGGCATCTACTGCTTACTTGTTACTGTAAAGAGAGAATATACCGTATTACTTTGCTGTCGTTGAAGGTCTGCAATGTTGGATTTTATTTGTTTTGTCCTTCTATCATTTTCAGCTATCTGTGAAATAAAATTTAATGGCATAAACAATACAATACAAGACCACATTTTTCAATGCAGAAAAAAGGTGGCCAACTTCACAATAAAGTACAGAAGACTCGTGAACTTCAAATAGTGTGGATAATTATAAGTGATGTTTTTCAGATAAATGTTGGGGGAACACTTTTCAAAGGTAACCTAATACTGCGCCAAAGCTTATTCTGAGCTTGAAATCATGTGAGGACAAATTACTTAAACAGGCAATCGAACTTAGACCCAGATGTATTTTACCCCTAACTCTGCACTTTCAGCCTCTCTCAAAATATCTTTTTGAACAAGTAGAGCCATGTTCTTAAAGTTCAACAAAAGGGAGAAATGTGATAAACAGACAGGGTTCATGGAGCGTCAACTATGAGTAAGGGGCATCGCGTGGACATGGTTTTCTTTCATACATTGTGTCATGTGTCATGTGCAAACCTATTTGGAAATTGAAATAAAATAAAATCAGAATTGATGTGCATGAAATTTTATAGTTAAGCCTAATTATTACTGTGCACGATCGCACCCTGCCACCCTTTTTTTCACATTAAGCAGTAGGAATCTAAAGATGCAAAACATATGAGAACTAGCAAAAAAAGATAAATATTCTATGAGAATCACGTTATCCAGAACACATATAGTCTCTAATAATAACATTATACATAATTAGATTATCTGGAACACATATACCCGCATTCATACATCAATAGATGGAATGGGTACCACTAAGTAACTATAAAATACAAAAGGTAATATAATTACAGTAAACAATAGATATGGAAACAATTCCTCCAGTCAAAATAAGTTATTGCTGATAAACTATTTTCCAAACTGACACAATATCACAATGAACATTTAGGCCATAGGAAAATGGTACAAGTAGATTCCTCAAGAAATACTTCTAATATAAAACTAAAAATACGATTCACATTTATGGGTTAGGGAACTTTCTTTAGCAATGTTTCTGGTTCAAAATGTGGCTTATTTGTGATTGGAGTGGACGGAGTAACATTATCACTTTTACTGTGTTAACAGAGTTTAACGTTTATTATGCAGGAAAGCAGTATTTCTGGTAGCACATTGAGTTTTAAGATACCTCTTTTGATATGTCATTGATAGATTTTACGATGCCTGATAATTCTGCTGTGAATTCATTTTCATCCTCTCTTAACCTGAATGGCACACAAGGTCGAATCAAACAACCAACAAATTTTACTTGGATGTGGTTAAGGAAAGTAAGAAGTACAATTGAATGACCTTGTAACATTTGATTGAAGATGATCAATCTGCTGTTGTATGTTCTGCATATCTTTCTCCATTTGAGATGCCTCAGCCTTCAGATTGATAAAGACATGATTCAGACAGAATAGGTAAATTCAAACATACAAAGCCAAGGAAATACAAAAAAAAATCAAGAGGCATGCTATCAAGTGAATCTTTTGGAACAATTGATATCAAGGTTCACCGATTATGTCATTTTTAGGAGATAGCCCAACTTCTTCTGAGGAAGAGGTACAAAGTGGTAACAGTTAGCTCATGTGAAAACCAAAAATGTGATTAGTCCAGTTAACAGGACTGATGCTCCCTTATTGAAAACAAACTATTTTACGATACAACTTAACTCTATTGTATAGCCCAAGGAGAATCACACAAGACACGGGGTACAAGGAAGAAAACATAGCCTAATACAGACTCCTAGACCAATACCACTACTTAACACACACCCTCGGATGCTCTATAGTACTGTATTTGAAGAAGCGCATCTTGAGAGTGTCATTGTGGCATGGAGAGCCTTCAAAACCTGTCGAGTCAAGCCAAAGGGGATAACCAGAAGATGGTGCATCGAAGGAAGACACCGCATCAGTAGAAGATACAAGATAAGTCACAAGAGAAGATGAGTTATCAAAAGATGGCACACAAGAGAATGAAGCAACAACAACAAAGCCATTAGTCCCAAACAAGTTGGGGTAGGCTAGGGCTGAAATCCATAAGATCTCGCAACCCACTCATGGTTCTAGCACATGGATAGCAAGCTTCCATGCACCCTTGTCCATTCGTTTTCCTCTCTCAGCTTTTGACAATCTTATAGATGTCCCTTCCGCCTTCATGCTTAAACGCCGGTAGAGGTCCTCATACACCCGAACCCTTTGCTTCACTCACAGCTCGCTTTGCGGCCTTCTATGCCACCTTGTACTTCTCCCTGTTGCCCACACTCCTATCCAGGTAAAGGCGTCTGAAACACTCTTTCTTCTCCTTAATAGCCGCCTGGACATCATTTTTCCACCACCAGGTATCTTTAGCTTCGCTTTTACTTCCCTGGAACTTCGCTTTTACTTCCCCTAGACACTCCAAACTCCTCTGAGGCCACCTTACGAATGCAAGTTGCCATCTTCATCCACAGATTGTCTGCATCGCCTCCTTCCTCCCATGGAACCTCTTTAATGACCCTCTCCTTGAACGCCTAAGCTACGTCCCCCTTGAGCTTCCACCACTTCGTTCTAGCGACTTTGGCACGCTTATCCCGTTGAACGTGAATCCGAAAGCGGAAGTCAGCCACCACAAGCTTTATGCTGAGGGACAAGACTCTGCAAATATCACCTTACTATCTAGGCAAGCACGCCTGTCTTCTCTTCTCGAGAGGATGAAATCAACCTGGCTAGTGTTGACCACTACTAAAAGTCACTAGGTGTGATTCTCTCTCTTTAAAGAGGGTGTTAGCTACGATCATGTCATAGGCTAGAGCAGAACTTAAGACATCTTGATTCCTGATGCCACGGCTAAAGGCCCCATGCACCCCTTCAAAACCTGTGCTAGATGTACCCATGTGACCATTGGGGTCTCCTCATATGAAGAGCTTCTCACCAATAGGTACACTCCTAGCCATCTCCTCCAAACCTTCCAAGAACTCCCTCTTGATGTTCTCATCGTGGCCTACTTCTGAGGCATGCACGCGGATAACATTGACAACTAAGTCCCAACTACCAGCTTGACTAGGATAATCTGGTCCCCATGCCTCTTAATGTCTACCAGTCCATACTTGAGGCTCCCCCGTGTACCACTCCATACTTCAAGATGCCTATTCCATTTCTGTTTGGAGTCGTCCCAACTACCACAGTTTGAAGCCGGTATCCTACACCTCCTTCGCCTTCTGTCCACTCCATTTGGTTTCTGGAGGCAAAGGATATCAACACCTGTCCTCACCACTGTATCAACTAGCTCTCGAAGCTTAACTGCCAGGGACCCTATGTTCCAGCTGCCTAAGCGGATCCTCCTAGGCTCGGCTATCTTCCTTGCCCTTCGCACTCGTCGAGTCAAATGCGAAGACCCTTGCTCATTTTCCACTACACCAAGGAGTCGATGTAGCACACCACTAAGGATGTGACGATGCTCACTTGCCACCGTATCCAGATCAAGATATGGCGCGCCACCAGGGGGTGACGGCCCAGCCCTTGCCCATTTGACACCACACCCGGGTACCGATATGGCACGTCGCTGAGAGTACGCCCCAACGATTTTATTTTGGGTTACATCTCCATAAGAGTGGCTAAGTTTTGACGTCGGCTCGCCAAGCCTATCATAACCCTCCTCCTTTACCGGGCATGGGACCAGCTATGCTGAGACAACACAAGAGAATGAAGCATTGCATACAAAATCATAGCCCATGAAAACCCGCGGCTAAAGAAGCTCGGCGGCAAGAGAATGGGCGCGACAACGGAAAAAGAGCACAAAAATCCTACATAAAACAAGGACCAGAAAAGGCCACAAATTGTATAGAAAGGACCATGGCGAGAAAAGGAAAGCTCGCGTATCAAGTTTTGGTGGACAAGGATGACATAAAAATATGAAATAGCAACGGATTTGGTGGACGTAGCGGAAAATATAGAGCTAGAAGCTAGGAAGCACACACAAGATGAAGATGCAAGAGCCATCGTGGATGCGTGAGAGGCTACGAAGGAGGCCGTGCAGGTGGAGGAGCAGCGATGAGTAGCAACTAGCGAATGAGCATGCAACACCAATAGAAGGTGCATGGGCGAGACTGAGTCAAGGAAAAGATCACCGTCAAGAATCACATAACATTGAGGAGGGAAAACAGATGTCAGATGGCTTTTTTTTTTGCTAAAGGAATCTAATAGGCACACATAGGAGCCAGACACCCTAAGTAGTACACCAGCGGCTGACAGAGAGAGCCATGTTGGGAGACGCAGCGGCGGGAGCAAAGCAGCAGCAAAGCAGTGCTAGTAGCAGAAGTAGGGAGAGCCAAGCGGAGGGCCGCGGGCAAGCAACCGAAGGAGCGAAGGCCTTGGCGAGCAGCGGACAGCCTCAGCCTTGGCGAGCAGCGGCGGCAACGGCAGCACAGGAGGCGATACCAGCGACAGCCGCAGGAGAGAGCATAACAGGCGGCCGGCAGGTGGACCGCAGGAGGGAGCGCGCTGCAGAGGAAGCACACAGCCAAGCCAAGGATCTTCTCTATGGTAGTCCTGTGCTAAATGTCTAAGGCGAGGGCTACGCCTTACAATCCCGGGCACCATAGCACTGACTCAATGTTTCATACTCCCTCCATCTGGATGTATAGGGCCTAATAGGCATTTCAAGATTTACTTTGACCATCAGTAAGATCAATACTGTATTAGATGTATGGTATAAAAATTATATTACTGGAAACTCCATCCGAATACGAATTCGACAATATACTCTTTGTAACACGTATCATATACTATTGGTCTAAACAATGGTCAAAGTAAATCTCGAAATACGCATAAGGCCCTATATATCCGGATAGAGGGAAAAACACTATCTACTATAGTACTACTTCATACTTGTAAGATGAATTTAGTTTTTATGGGTTTTAGATAACAGCTCACTTGAGTAGATTGCATATGCTGCATTTGGAAATCACGAAGTTGTGCCTGCAATTGATTCAGGCGGCCATTCTTTCTCTGCAGCATGTGTGCACCACGCTCATGCTCCGCCTCTAGTTCTATCTCCCGCTTCACAGCCTGTAAACAAAAGGAACATGAAGAATTGTTAAGAAAGACAAGTTAAATAATTGCACAACCATGTCCATAGCACATAAATGCCCATGGTGTCAATGTCTTCAAAATAAGGAATCAGTTAGTGCGGGTGTTTACTCAGAAAGGAGAGAAAATGACTGAATTTACACACGCGCGTTATATTCAAACAAGATTACCAAACATATAATCCTTAAATTTCAAATAGAATTATTACTAGGAAAAATTAAGCTGCCAACAATAGGAATCTCAACACTTCATGATGAGTGGCAATATTTCGAGGCAAATGTTATGAACATACCACTGAGCCAGAAATTACTGCAGATTTAGTTCTGCAATAATGACCAACATCAGAGCTTATAGGCCTAATAAGAACTGAAGACACAAAGATATGACAACCAGAAGGATTGCAAAGACTTTACGGTCATAACTTGCTACATTTATCATGACCATCACTTTTTTACTTCCATGTACAAAGACAACAGAGCTGTATGTGGCTCTACCACCTATCGGTCCAAATACAGCTGCTTTTTCTGAACATACCGGATGCTACACCATTTACTCACATACCTCAGCAATGTTATTTTCCATACTTTTCTTCATGTTGTTCTCTTCACGAGTCTTACCCACCAAAGATCTGAGATTTTCTTCCTTTTCAATTAGTTCTTTCTTCAGTTTATCAATAACAACCTAAAGGTTAAAAAATAATTCAGACATAACAATAAGCTCCATTAAATATGACTACTATTTTAGAATATGATTTTCAAACATAACTATACAGGATAGTTTTGGCACACTATTGCTGTAGTTCACTCCTTTAAATATGACTTGAAATTGGCCCTAGTCAAACAGATGACGTTCAAATTGGCAATAGATGTATGTGCCAGCAAGCTTGCATGGATTTATTCTGGTTAACCAAAAAAATGACAGTAAAAACACACCGGTTATTCTAGAGGATACAATGGCACAATGGGTTCCCAGTAAAAAGGACAAAACTTACTGTATTTCGGTCAATTCTTTCTTGGCACGCAGGAGCTCGCCCTTTGAGTTTCTGGAGTTTCACTGTTTGTTCCTCGATTTGCTGGTCAACTTCATAAACCCATGACCAGGCTAACTTTTTCTTCAAATTATCAATATCATGTGCTATCTCTTCTATGTGTTCCATATTCTTTATCTTCTCTCGTAATTCATCAAGTTTTCTCATCACTGGCTTAATTGACTTCTCCAGTTCTTGAACATCAGAGTCTGCCGTGTGCATCTGATCTCTTATTGCCTCAAGCAACTCTTTGAGTCGTTGAAGAAGAGTAGCCTTGAAAAAGAACTGCAACAAGACATAATGTATGGACAGTGAAAGAAAAGGAATAATGCTCAGAGTTATATCAGAGGAAGGGATATAGCAAGCACAGGTACAAGGCAGAATTATGAGCTCAACTCAGAAACAACATTGCGTCAAATAGAAGTTCAGTTCACGGGTCATACACTCATATGAAGTCGTAAGCTACCAAAATCATTGTTTTTAAGGCGTCCCGCCTTGGACGCTTAGGCGACGCTTAGGCGATAAGGCGCCCCCCCAGCGCCTTACAAATATGCCCGCCTTAGGCGCTTAGGCGTCGCCTAGGCGATAAGGCGCCCCCCCCCCCAGCGCCTTAGGTCGCCTTACCGCCTTAAAAACATAGACCAAAATATATCTGTTCTGGCATTGAATACATAGTGTCGTGTTCTCATAAAATGATGATGGATTGGAATATATAAAAATGCTAATTGGTTACATGCACAACTAGAAAGATGTCGAGAGGCAAATGAAAATGCAATCATGGTATTATACAAACTGACTAACTGAAGGCGTGCTTCACGGTCGAGTACATCTAAAAGCAAATAAAATACCATGGAAACCCTGCGGAGTACAACTATACAATTCCATTCACGTTCTTCAAACCATAGATATTCTAATACATCAAATAAAATTAGGGAAAGCACACTTACTGATATAATGGTATTGGCAGAAAACTGAAAGAATTGATTACCTTAAACTTATCCTTGTCATTTCCTGAGTGCAGAAATTCTCTACTTTTGTCTTGACTCATAATTACACAAGGATTTTCAACATCAATCTGAAAAGTTGTGTATGCATCAGGATGTGGAAATATAACACATTCATTACATTCTAACAAGGTACTTCCACAGAATGGTACAAAAACAAAAACGCTTGGAGATACATATCCATGGTTTACAAGGGTAAAGCGATCTAAAGCAAGCCCCACCCGCTGACGCATAACTGATGCCTAAGCGCCTAAAGCGGGCGCCTAAGCACCTAAAGCGGGCATATTTCTAAGGCGCTACCAGGGCGCCTTATTGCTTACGCGACTCTTGAACATCTGAAGCAGGCTGCTTTATAAACAATGTACATATCATGAATGATTGAATAATACTGATGCATGGCAGTGAAAACAGTCAAAACAAACGGCAGGTGTTGATACTACCACGCTTATCTAAAAAAACTAATTATGCACCAATAGCTTACACTCCGAGGTTTTTGCGCCTGAGATACGATGACGAAGATTAGTTAACTGTTGACATGTACAGATATGTTGCTCCTCAGGAGGTTAGTTTGGTTCAAAGGAATCATGTAAAATCGAGTCGTGCATGCATAAAGATCAAAGTAGATTTCAAGGAGATATCATGTGAAATGTTTCCAAACTGGACTCATGCTGTGTTAGCTGGGAGCAGCCATTGATCAAGATCACCAAGACCAGAGCCCTTATTGCGCACTTTTCTGGCAATGTTCTTTTAGTGGGAGACGACGTGCCCGTTGAATACGAGGTGCATGTGCTAACTTCGTCAATCTCGGTCCCTCAGAGGTGCGCATAGGAGTAGGGTGTGTGCGTTCATAGGGGTGTGTGTACTAGTGTGTATGTGAGTGTTTGCGTCTATCCTGTGTTTCTCAAACAAAAAAGAGGAAGGGGTGATAGATATGTGATTGTGAAGCGGACCAATAGCGTAGCCGCGGTGGGGCGAGAGAGCAAAACTAGGGAGGAAGGCGCTATGGTCTCTTCTTGCAGATGCATCTGTATGAAAAACATCTTCACCTGGCATTTTTTTCCTATAGAAACAAAGGCAAAAGTGCGGCGAGGACAGGTAGATGAGAGGGTCCATCAGTTTCTACACCTGATTTGCATATTTTACCAAATACAGAAAGTAAACAGCAGAACAAATGACTGAATGAGAGAAGCATAACTACTGACAATATAGTACACATCAGCAAACAAGCAACTTACATTAAAATGTTCGACTATCTCATTAAGATCATCTTTGCGATGTGCCACCTTCCTCCCTATTCCAGCACATGTAAAATAATTATCAAAATATAACATTTTGTAGTAAAATAATGAAAATACGTACTAGTAGTACTCCAAAAAAGAATAAAATTACTTGCTACAGTGTTTCTTTTCATCCCAAACTTGCATTTAATAATGTATAGAAATGGATGTAACATGCAAATGAAGGCCTGGGACACATAAAGCTTATTTAATTATAAAGTGAAAAGGGAGATTTTCTGCGGCCATGCAAACATGTACTCCCTCCGTTCCTAAATAATTGTCTTTCTAGAGATTTCAACAAATGACTACATACGGAGTAAAATGAGTGAATCTACACTCTAAAACGTGTCTACATACATCCGTATGTTGTAGTCCATTTGAGATGGTTAGAAAGACAATTATTTGGGAACGGAGGGAGTACAGTATAAGTCAAGCACAACGAACGTATAGGTCTTTTGCCAACATGAAAAGTTGATAGAACCAAGGATGGGAAAGATGTGATAATTTAACATTAAAACTTGAAATAGCCATTAAATAGAATAAAGATATGCAGCCAGGACACAAGAATGGATAATCAACTAAGAAATGCAACAATCCTAAGTTCAGAAATGTATATCATCTCTGAATAGCAAAATACAACTACGTGAGAACTCTGAAGGGTCACAGAAAAATAGGATTACCCTTAAAACAATACAAGTTGACAAAATGAGAATGGAAACCTAAAGTACTAATATAACAGCTAAAAGAGATCTAAACAACTTTGCAGGAGAAATGCTTACAATAGACGGGCACAACCAACAACTGGGAGGAAGAAGGATCAAGTATGAGTACCATGTTGATCTTTTAAGATAGTAGAACTAGATGACTTGGTAATCCTGCGCTCCAATTTAATTAAGTTTCCATATACGTCAGGCTTGAACGTGTCTTCCCCTTGGTTGTTGATGTCAACAGCAATTGTTGCAACGCTGTGATTTAAAGAGTAAACTATTTTTCAGTCGATCACAGGTAGAGAGATAGGACAGTCGGAGGATAAATGTAAAAACCATTAACCACAGGTTGTACAGTAGAAACATATTATGTGTGATCGATGCAGACATCAGCTCCACTATCATCCATAAGATCATAACTACTGGAACCTGTACAGTCATTTACCCAGCCAACATTCTGATTTATTGTTCAGTCACTCAGCCGGTGGTTGACCATTTGGAATTGTTTAATATAATTTTATTCGACCAAGGGCAGTTCTTTGGTGAACAAGCAGGTTCAGCCGCTATTTCACCAATTTGCAAAGGTCTAACCCCAGAGACTGTCTGCTTTTAATAGGCAGGCTATCTGTTGGATATTTCCATCAAAATCTTCAAGATAAACTGAGTAATTATGATACATGTTTATTGTAGGGCAGAAAGTATACCTACAGATTTTCTGTTAAAAGAACTCTGTGTGATCCAAGCAAATAGAACGCTGTCCAGATTTTCTGAACATGTATGAAATTTTGAACCAAAATTGTGTTTTTCTAACAAAAACTATAGGTACACATTTCATACCATAATACACATGTATGAACTTTTATGGATCTTTTCAAACATGTGTCCGTATGGCACATGCTGCAAAGTGAAATTATTGGCAATCTGCCTAGTGCAGAGTACAACTCATTTACTCTGTTAGTATTAACAATTTGGCGTGTGACAGTTGGTGCCCTGTTTGAAAAATACATCAATTATAAATTTATAATACGATAGAACAAGACCGGTCTTTAAGTTTTCTGATAAATCCTGTGATCTCTGTTCTTTTCTCTGAAGCATACAGCTGCGGCATGGTCTAAAAATGGCCCCAGCAGATTTTCAGGTAAGAAATTTTTAAGATTGTAACTGTCATGTGCAATGGCAAGGGTACGGACAAGGGTTGGACAGGTAACTTGGTGTGTGGTAGTACAGCAATGCATGTTGTTCATATGATCAACAAATATTTTCATATAAAATCCACCTGAGTACTAGTGGCAGGTAGCAGCATTGCACTAATTGCAAGGATCGACAGGGATTAGACCCAACCGAAGAGATTGCCAGCCTTCAATATTCCTACTAAATGTTGTGCAGAACGAGAGGAATTGGCACCAAACAAGAGATATTCCCAACGAAAACTTACCCTCGCAACAAAATCTTGGTTTTTTTGGACAATGACTCAGCAATTAATAGTTATCTAGAAAATACTAAAATAAAATATGTGAGCGGGTACAGAAGGCAGACGCGACCTGCAACCAGTCTTGATGAAATCCTTCAACGTTGCGGCCCGCTGCGTGTTCTTGGCGCGGCAGCCGAAGGCGACGCAGAGAGCCGTCAAGATCGCGCTCTTCCCGCCTGCGCCGGCACGAAGAAGAAGAAAAGGCGCATTGGTGAGAGGGG